TGGTATAAAATGGTAGTTCACTGTGTTACTGTATATAATGGTAGTACACTGTGTTACTGTATATAATGGTAGTTCCCTGTGTTACTGTATATAATGGTAGTTCACTGTGTATCATGGTAGTTCCCTGTGTTACTGTATATAATGGTAGTTCACTTTGTTACTGTATATAATGGTAGTTCACTGTGTATCATGGTAGTTCCCTGTGTTACTGTATATAATGGTATTTCCCTGTGTTACTGTATATAATGGTAGTTCACTTTGTTACTGTATATAATGGTAGTTCCCTGTGTTACTGTATATAATGGTATTTCCCTGTGTTACTGTATATAATGGTAGTTCACTGTGTTAGTGTATATAATGGTAGTTCACTGTGTATAATGGTAGTTCACTGTGTTACTGTATATAATGGTAGTTCACTGTGTTACTGTATATAATGGTAGTTCACTGTGTTACTGTATACAATGGTAGTTCACTGTGTATAATGGTAGTTCACTGTATATAATGGTAGTTCCCTGTGTTACTGTATACAATGGTAGTTCCCTGTGTTACTGTATATATTGGTAGTTTACTGTGTTACTGTATATAATGGTAGTTCACTGTGTTACTGTATATAATGGTCAGATTATAACTTTATATTTTTCTATGGTTGTATTCTGCTGAATCAGCACCATTATGTTTATTAATCTGACAGTCAAAATAGAGTTTCACTGAATTACCTTTTCCGAGTTCTTTTGGTGTATAATACAAATGTACTAACTTCTGTGGCATGCTACTCTGCATTCTTATTTTCCAAACATAATTTCAAATTTCAGTTGAGTCCTATTTTGGAATGTTTCTATAGGAGTAAAAATATGTATCAAATAGAGAAAATGAATGTGAAAGAAACAACTAGAACAACAAACAGTATTTCAGAAAACATTTTATTTACATAACAAACAAAACAGCAACTTGCTTAAGTTAGAGATGCTTTCTGTGCTTTCATACTGACATATAAACACAAATCTCTCTCACTGGCCATTACATTTCTGTCTACATGTGTATTTAAATATACATTTATAAAATTAATTCTCTTTAACATTTTCAATAAATCTAGACTCTATACCACAGAATAACACTCTGTTGTGCACCTCCACAGACAACATGTATGACGGCTGAACAGACAATATTGAGGGGACATTTTTCATCAAGAGATTTTGGCTCTCTTTTTAACACTAAAATTCACTGCATAAAAATCAATCAGACCAACAACTTCCATATTGCCTTTTTGTATATATTTTAAACTTCACTGAGAGATTTCTGAAATAAGAAAAAAGAAATTTTTCTTTTATATTAAAATTTTGAAAAATGATATTTTCTCATAGAAGAGTTATTTCCCTTTGAACACTTTCCACCACTACCAAAAATTCTTGAAACTGAGAGAGCAGCTCTGGTTCTCACACTAACCCATTCACCCCTAAAGTCACATTTGAACTTTGCAAAATCAAAGACTGGGCAAGTTCAGTTTAAATGTGTCGGGGTGAAAAAGTACAAGTACCACTTTTAGGAAACGCCACACAATGCTACGATTACAATATGTACAAAGAATATTCAACCAATTTCATTTTTTTAAGGAAAAGCATCCAAATTTTCTTCAATCAACTTCAAAAAGAAAATATAATAATGTGAGAGAATTGACGAGTTCTAACCAGGAAGAAGATGAACAGAAAGAAGATGATAATCATCCAAATGTATTTAAACACATTACATTGTACCATTTGTTTTAATGAGTTTCTTACTCTCATGTAAGAAATCAAATAATTTCAATACCCAAATGGACAAAAAATGTGATATTATGACAATAAAAATATGAACTTAAGAGATCTTATAAAATTGCAACTGTTTAATGATCTATTAAACAGTTAATTTACTGGATAAAAGTCAAACTATTGCAATAAAGGAAAGCAAATGAGAAAAAATCTGAAAAATATAAAAGTAAATCACTAAGTAATTCGAGTACAAAAATGAAAGCTGGCAGTAAAAACAATATGACTATTATACATACGTCCTGTTTTTTCTATCCTATATTTCGCTATTAATATTTTGCAAGGTAAAGCTTCAAGTAAATTCAAAACTTGAATGATTGACAGAGTACATGTATTGCAAATGTTTTTGCACATTATGCTAAAAAATAGATATATTTGAATCAGTTTCAAAAAACAAAATTGCTGTCTTTATATCCTTTCAAATAAATTTAGTATAAACTGAAATTTTACTTACAAATTGTAACTGCATTTTGTAATGGGTTTTATTGATAGCATCTTCAGAAATCTTCAATCAAACAACCAAACCAAAAGGCTGAAGCAAAGTAGTACAGAGATAATACAACTGATCAACTTTATTGCACAAACCTAGAAAGACAAAATACCTTAAGGGGGTATGTGGCCTTATTGTGACACAATTCTTAAAGAAAAGCTCCAAACAAAGACACTTGTAAATCTCAAGTTGTTTGTTACATATGTGTATGATTCAAATAAAACACAATAAAACCTGAATATAATACCCCTCTTTCCACTTTCAACCTCACTTAGCGCCAACATATTTCAAGGTCTCTTTATCTTTTCCCTCAGAATTCCCTTATAGATCAAACTTCTCTTAAATAATGGCATGGGTATAAATAGTTTTTATTGTGTTAATTTTAACACTGTCATTCATAACAGTTGCATTGTGTAGGAAAGCATAAAACTTGGTATTAAACAGTATCAGTGATCCACATAGGACCACTGTACCCCGTATATACTGGACAGTGATGATCCACATTGGACCACTGTACCCCGTATATACTGGACAGTGATGATCCACAGAGGACCACTGTACCCTGTATATACTGGACAGTGATGATCCACATTGGACCACTGTACCCTGTATATACTGGACAGTGATGATCCACATTGGACCACTGTACCCCGTATATACTGGACAGTGATCAAGCCTTAAAGATCCATGCTTATTAGAACAGACTTTCAAGTGACATTTTCTTAATTTGTTTGTTTGACATATTTTGTTACTCAGGACATTAAACATCATAAAGTTTATATAACAAAGAAGTTTCTTTACTATTATAATTAGATATCTTAGCTTGAATGTGAATATCATATTTCATTACTTTTTAAGAAACAAATAATGTAATACTGATTCTTTAACTTGCATTAGGATATATCGGCTTATTAAACACTGTATATGCAAGGTACCCTTTAGAGTCCAGAGATTTCTTTACTCCATACCACAAAAAAACATTTCTGACTCCATGTATATAGACATAATCACACCAACTATACATAGATCCTAGGTCTGAGAACAATTTGATATGAAGTTTGTTTAAAAGAAACCCTGTTTTTAAGATAAAGGAATTCAACAAGTAAAGAGATCTAATAAGAATAAAAAGGTAAATAATTAGAAATACAATACATGTTATGATCCTGTATAATAAAGTTTTGCACTGTTTCACACATCTAAGTTGCATGAAAGTTGATAGCCTAAAAACCTGTGTACCAGTCATCACCATGAGTTACATGTAAAACATACAGATGACCTTGATGAATTATATGTGAACATACAGATGACCTTGATGAATAATATGTAAACATACAGATGATCATGACACATTTTACACATAATATATAGATGATCGTATACATGTAAAATGGAAAGGTGATCCTGATGGTTTATTTAGAACACTTGAAGCAGATGTAAAACATTTAAGTGAGCCTGATGATTTGGCTGTATTATAAAACCAAGGAATGCTGGAAGCAGATACCCAGAGTTGAGATATATAAAGAGTTGAGTGCCTCCTTCCCTTGTCCTTGGCACTGTGGAGAGGAATGCTTAGGACCAGGGAAGCAGGTGCTCTCAAGGAATCTGTGTCAGCGTGGTGTTTGTACTCTCCAGCTCTGGCGTGTGTTCTGTAGGAATGATGGTCTGGTGCTTTGTGGATGGAGACAGTTTCTGATGTTCTGACGTCAGGTAACCCTGTAAGGAGAGAAAATGTCACGATTAATTTAAACCAGTCGCAATACAACAAAGGGATGGGAAAGCTTACAGCTTGTAGAGATTCCTCCCCCAAATACAATTAGAGTAAACTATGTATTGATTTCAGAGTGATGCAGGTGTAAGTCATAATCTGATTGTCTGTGCCTACCTACTTTTTAAATTAATCATGATGATAATTACACACAGATTGGGACACAACATGTGAGTACTTCCTGATTGACAACAATGACACAGTACAGCCACATATAGGAGTGGCATAGGGGTGAAAGGGCTAAAGGCTATATATAAGACTGATGTTGGGGGATCAATTGTGGCTGATGTTTGGGGATCAATCGTGGCTTATGTTTGGGATCAATCGTGACTGATGTTGGGAGATCAATCGTGGCTTATGTTTGGGATCAATCGTGACTGATGTTGGGAGATCAATCGTGGCTTATGTTTGGGATCAATCGTGACTGATGTTAGGGGATCAATCGTGGCTGATGTTAGGAGATCGATCGTGGCTGATGTTTGGGGATCAATCTTGGCTGATGTTTGGGGATCAATCGTGGCTGCTGTTTGGGGATCAATCTTGGCTGATGTTGGGGGATCAATCGTGGCTGATGCTAGGAGATCGATCGTGGCTGATGTTTGGGGATCAATCGTGGCTGATGTTTGGGGATCAATCGTGGCTGATGTTAGGGGTTAAATTATGGCGGATGTTGGGGGATCAATCGTGGCTGATGTTTGGGGATCAATCGTGGCTGATGTTTTGGGATCAATTGTGGCAGATGTTGGAGGATCAATCGTGGCTGATGTTTGGGGATCAATCTTGGCTGATGTTGGGGGATCAATCGTGGCTGATGTTTGGGGGTCAATCGTGGCTGATGTTTTGGGATCAATTGTGGCAGATGTTGGAGGATCAATCGTGGCCGATGTTTGGGGATCAATCTTGGCTGATGTTTGGGGATCAATCGTGACTTATGTTGGGGGATCAATCGTGGCCGATGTTTTGGGATCAATTGTGGGGGATCAATCGTGGCTGATGTTGGGGTATCAATCGTGGCTGATGTTTGGGGATCAATCGTGGTCGATGTTTAAGGATCAATTGTGGCTGATGTTGGGGAATCAATTGTGGCGGATGTTGGAGGATCAATCGTGGCTGATGTTTGGGGATCAATCTTGGCCGATGTTTGGGGATCAATCGTGACTGATGTTGGGGGATCAATCGTGGCTGATGTTGGGGTATCAATCGTGGCTGATGTTTGGGGATCAATCGTGGTCGATGTTTTGGGATCAATTGAGGCTGATGTTGGGGGATCAATTGTGGCTGATGTTGGGGAATCAATCGTGGCTGATGTTTGGGGATCAATCGTGGCTGATGTTTTGGGATCAATCGTGGCCAATGTTTTGGGATCAATTGTGACTGATGTTGGGGGATCAATTGTGGCTGATGTTGGGGGATCAATTGTGGCTGATGTTGGGGGATCAATCGTGGCTGATGTTGGGGTATCAATCGTGGCTGATGTTAGGGGATCAATCGTACCAATTATATAGGAGTCGGTATTCATTGACGTTTGTGTCCATGCACGTCAGCTAGTGTACACAATTATTTATTTACCTGTGTTATGACATCACCTGTGATAGTCACTGTGTCAATGTGATGTGACATGTTTACCTGTTATGACATGTCAATGTGATGTGACATATTTACCTGTGATGACATGTCAATGTGATGTGACATATTTACCTGTGATGACATCACCTGTGACAGTTAAGTGTTTACCTGTGATATGACGTCGCCTGTGAGTCTACGAGCCTGATACAGGTGTCGGTAACGAGAATGTTGGTTGTCATATTTCTGACGTTGTCTAACTCTCTGGAGATTCACCTTTTTCATTCGCCGATTCTGTACAGCTACAAAAGTATCATACTTCATATATATAACGAACTAATGACATTAGCAAATCATAATCAAGATTCTAATACTGGAATATTGCTTCATGAAATACTGGGTTATACATTTTTGTGTAAATATATGGTGAAAATTGAAACTACATTCACGTATTAATAGTTATTTGTGAAGAACATGATTTTTCATCAAATAATCTAAATCCTAACTTGAGTTATGTGCTAAAGGATCTAGAAGAAGGTCATGGAGACAAGAAACAATAGTATTTGAAGATTTTAGAATAATTCAAACGACTCATGAATCTGTACGTTTTAAGCAAGCAGCTTAATTGGTACGTTATCCAAATGAAGATGAAGGCGACACATGAACCCACCTTCTCTGTGGTCGTATCCTTGCCCTGTGATTTTCCACTGTGTTATACTTCCAACCACAAAACAGAATGGCCAACAACCCAGGATCACCCAACTGTACCAACAGATCGGTTCAGAGTAAGCTCCCTTCACACGCTCCCACGAAAATGTCAGAATCATGAACTTCTCAATAAAGTAGTCCAGGCATGCCACCATCAAAGCACCTCCGAAAACACTAGTTCCCAGTATCGTGAAGGTCTTTTGAAATTTCAAGGTCAAAATTGCGAAAAGTAATCCAAGCCCAGATAAAATACCAATAGGAATCCAGATTGATTCTGGGTGATAGAACAGCTCCATGACTATTAGAGCTCCGATGCTGACAGACACTCCGAGGTGAAACCCTGTAAGGAACAGGCCCACATATTGTACTAGCATTGTGATGATACCACATATAATTCCAGCTCCGACAGCCACCCCGATGTTTCCTAATAACGGCAACACTTTGTGTTCTGTTAATAACACATACACTAGCACAGCACTGAATATAAACCCAGTCAGAAACATAATGGCTTTGAAGAACCGGTACCCTGTAACAGACAATACGTCACATTGTAATAGATATACATTACATGTTTCTGAAGAAGCAGTATAACTTATAATAAAGAATTACTGTCTACTGGGAACTTTTTAACTTACAACTTAATTTGCCCTCTGTAATGAAGGCAAATTCATCATTAGCGCGAACATTGGTTAACAATATTACTACACATTATAATCAAATGTAAAGGGCCAAATCAACACTCGGCGAACAAGATTTTACCAGAATAGGGTGAAAGTTTTCTGGTATAATGTAGGTCAATACTTATAATAATAGAAAATTTTCAAACTTTCAACCAAATTAATTAAGTTGAAACAGGATATAAATAGTGAATTGTAGGTTATACATTAAGAGGACTGTTAGGGGAAGATACACTTACCAAAGAATGTGTAAATAATTCCAAATACGAAACACATGGAACAGATGACACTGATTGCGATGTCATAATGGTAGTCTATGTGATCACAGGACAGATGTGGTGATAGCGTTGAGCCCTCCGGAACAAGGATAGTGGTGTTTGGGGGTTGGTTGCCATACTCAATCTCTGTCGACTGCAGCAGTTGTCTGCCCCTGATTAATACACCAGCCGCCATATTTAATTTGTATCTGGGTTTGTTGAACACTTGGGTGTATGATACAGCTAGTTATGGTCCATCGCCATCACAGGAACAGTGCACAAAATCTGAAACACATAATAACATCTGTGTGAGGTTTTTTACCGTGACTAAATTTTGTTGCATACGTGTACATCTCTTACCAGGTATGTAAGGTATTATAAACAGACAAGGTTGTGCACATACTGTTGCAATTATTTTTTGTGTAGCGATGGGAAACAAAACGTAACAGAAGCAGAAATACATGTAGCTGCCAGGCTGATATTTAAACAGCTGAATATATGTAGATGAGCACTTTTGCATGTCTTGGATTCATCAGGTAATCATGTGTCATAACAAATATATGGAAAACGAAAGTAAAATATTTGAGATGTCTGTACAAGTTTATAGTTTCATAAATGAATCATGATGAAGAATTATCTGATAAAGATAAGTACAATACGCATGATGGGTTTTCCTTGTTAAGGAATACCTTTTTTATGCAAATGAGTCATCAAACAAAAAGAGGTTATGACTGTGTTTCGGTATTCCTTAGATTAGTCATTTAAGCCTAATTTCTTCATAATGTTTCTTTGTGTTTCATCTAAGATAAAGCAGAGGAAAAATAGTAATATATACATATCATCAGGAAGTTTTTCGTCAGTGTAAATGTTGTTTGCCCTTTGTGAGGTCATATTAGACTGATGTTCCACAAAGGAGAACATAGAGTTGGTAGACATAAATATTCTGGTATCAATTAGTTGTCAGACAGCAACAATCAAGCACAATATTTCTTGTAATGTGAAAGTGTGAGGTTCATACAGGATTTATAATATAACAAAGTTACTTCTTTCTAGAAGTAAAACAACTGCAACGGTGGGTCTCAAGCATGCATTATCAGTCTATACATGTGTCTATAGGGTTTTCACTGATTCGCTATACAGAAGCTTGTCTTCATACATCAAATGCACAACTGCTTCATAGCATGAAACATACAAACTTATCAGTAAACACCAGGCCAGAACATGACATGTCCCAACCTCAAACCAACTAAACCATACACTAGGGTACAAAATAAGGCTCAACACTGTCTACAGGCTGTGGGCACTCGATACTCCACAACCTTCAGACAAAGTGACGTAAAAATTGGCCATCACTTGTCATATAGTGTAGCACAGGGACCGATTTCAGTACTGTATGTCATATATACATGTCTGCCATTCGATCAAATGGGCAGTAAAGGGCAGTAACTCTTTATATAATTTGGAACAAGACAAATAATAAAACACAAAATTGGGGAGTAGTGAGTGACTGATTCAATAAGGTTTTACACTGACAAAGTGATTCCTGCACAGGGTGAAAGCCTCTTGTCTCCTCTTGAGGTAGTAGTACTGTTGGATCAATTTCATACCAAATAAGAAAAAGGTCAAAATACAACATGTCTGCAGCATGTTCATTTCCAAATACTGGGTCAAAACATGGCATATTTTTCAGCATCCTATACAACGTAATTCTGAATCCAAACAAAGCATGTCTACTAAGCACGCTCCATGGTCAAATGGAAACCTATCATACATGTTAAAAGTAGATCCAAGAATAACTGAAAACAAGAGATCCCAGAGGGATCTTGGCACCCACCAATGTACCATCTTCATTAGTTGTTTGTCAGTTCGATCTTTTCTCTTTCCTCTAATCTGTTTGATCAAGTCATGTTAACAGTAAATACACCTTGAGGTAACTTTTGATCTTAACTTGATACTGATGTGTATGAAAGCCAGCCTTCAAATTGAGTTTGTCATTTCACATATTTACTAGTACAGTACTTAATGTGAAAGAAATAGAATCATGCAATCATTGCAATATGAGAAAGATCTGTTTAGTTCTTCCTTTAATCATTTTGTTTTGATGATCAGTCTCAAAATATAACATGCACAACGAGGGATCAAGGGGAACCTACATATCAAATTTGAGAAAGATCCCTCAAGTTATTCATGAGAAAATGTTTTTTGGGTGAGTAAAAAAATTGAAGCACTGGCCCAAATGACATATTGGTGGCCCAAATAATTTTGTGAAGAAATATTTCCACAGCATTTAACACAATGCTTCAGCACATTTAAATTACATATAACATGACAATGTTTGTAATATGTAAAACAGAATAAAACATTATATTTTTTTAATTCTTCAACCCTAGTTAAAACCTGACATGATCCAATGCATGCAGGTCTTCCCAAAAAGAAACACAAAACTCGCACCTCAAAGAAGACACCCTGGCAGTATTTATATAGGAAATCACGGACAGTTTGATTCAAATCGAAGTAATGACAACTGAAAAATGTACTCCCCCCCCCCCCCCCCCCCAGTTAATGTAGAAGGGACTATAATTTCTTATATTCATTAATTTTTCTACAGTTGCCCAAACTATTTTTGTTGGGCCAGTGAATACCTCACTTTTGACAACTTTTGGTCGCTCGCGCAAGACTTGAACCCCCATTGGCGAGCAGGCGACTGTCCATTTTAGGCACTGCTGCAACAACAAGGGAACAAGGGAAACCTACATATAAAATTTGAGAAAGATCCCTCTGGTACTTCCAGAGAAATAGCGATAACAAACTTTCACTATCAAAATCAAAGATGGCTGCCTGTCGGCCATGTTGTTTATCCGATCAGTCTCAATGGTTGCACTGCACAGCTAGGGACCAAAGGAAACCTACATATAAAATTTGAGAAAGATCCCTCTGGTACTTCCCAAGAAATAGCGATAACAAACTTTCACTATCAAAATCCAAGATGGCTGCCTGCCGATAACAAACTTTCACTATCAAAATCCAAGATGGCTGCCTGTCGGCCATGTTGTTTATCTGATCAGTCTCAAAAATTGCCCTGCACAGCTAAGGACCAAGGGGAACCTACATATAAAATTTGAGAAAGATCCCTCTGGTACTTCTTGAGAAATACCGATAACAAGAATTGTTTAAGGACGGACGATGGACGGACCACGGACCATGGACGCAGGGTGATTTGAATAGCCCACCATCAGATGATGGTGGGTTATTAAGTTACATTTTCTGCATTCTAATGATTTTTATAGTGAAGCTACAAATTACCTATCATGTATTTGTGTTTGTATTTGATTTCAATAAAACCCGTGTTTAAATAGGCCTGGCTATAATTGGTTGCCAGATGATTCAATTACCAATAAACCTTACTCAATTTACATACATCTTCTGACTTTGTCTTCAAATTCATTATTTCATTTAACAGTTATCCTTTTAGACCTGGCCCATGCAGAGATCATTGCATTATTGCTCATGAATATCAAACGAGTACAAGTACAGAGAGTCTTGCTACAGCATCAATGACCATTTGTGGTTTATAGGTACAGCAGCCGAAATATCTATTAGCACAGCAGCCGAAACATTGCCCCACTTTTAATTATAGGAAAGCTCCACAGATGTGGTAAAGATGAGGTAGCTATATAAACAATTAATTCCACAGACACACACATCTGACGTCCTCAGATCATGTGAGGCCTGTTGATATCAAGGCCTATATGTATAGTGAAGTGTATGGTGTGTGATATATGTTCAGCTTTGTAATCAGTGAAAACTTGACAGCTTGGTGGTAGGTAATAAGGTAGGTACCATTAATCAGCACAGAATCACATAAGATTAATGTTACCTCCAAAAAGATACATCCTTCTGAAGTTTACAGCTACAGTGTACATATATATATATCTATATCAAACTCAGTACCACAGTATCGTGTGTGTAATGTTTCCCCCCAAATCCTGCATACTGTCACAGTTTGTGTGGCAGTACACAGTAGCATCGTAAATTCAGTACAAAGAATGCCTCATCCACACCTGCAGCAATAGGATTACCCTGAGCCTAATCACAAGGTACATTATATATACACATTACTGCTGTTAGTCTTCACCAAGTGTCTGTTAGCTATATATCAGGCCCTGCCAACTCAAAATATCCCTGCTCTCACAGTTGGCCCATCAATTGTCTTATAATCAATAATTATTCTTCACATTGTAAAGTAAACTGATTATCATCAGTATGTGGTGTATATATCCACAAACAATTAAATCTCTTTAACCTTCTTTAGTACAATACTGTAAATCCATCTTGTGGTATGGGAGACCCCTTCAATGCTTGTACATCCACGAAGGATAATACAACAATCACGTGCATCTACCTGGTGGCAACACTCTTGCATGGATTTACAGGCATATGGAGAATTTTACATAAAGTGAAACCTTCTTTTCAGCCACCATTCATCCAGAGAAATTTTGGCATTATAAAGGGGTTTAGCAATAGATTGAGGCAAATAGATAAAGGAATTACCAAGAAACCAAGAAAAGGGGACATTGTTGGCGGGAATTACAAAGAAACCAAGAAAAGGGGACATTGTTGGCGGGAATTACAAAGAAACCAAGAAAAGGGGACATTGTTGGTGGGAATTACAAAGAAACCAAGAAAAGGGGACATTGTTGGCGGGAATTACAAAGAAACCAAGAAAAGGGGACATTGTTGGCGGGAATTACAAAGAAACCCAAGAAAAGGGGACATTGTTGGCGGGATTACAAAGAAACCAAGAAAAGGGGACATTGTTGGCGGTAAACGAGGTAGCAAACGAAACGAGGGTCATTACATTAATTGAGGTTTTACTGTGTACGCATATTGTGGCATGGAGGATCCTCAAGAAAATAAACAGCTTTTTCTTTTTGAGGTATTATACACTCTCATTTAGCTAGTATTGACTTGTGGGTCCAATGGTGGGTGAGGTGTTAAAGCGTCTAACGTACTGTCTTGATCACTAAACCTCCACCACTGGGTCGTGGGTTCGACACCTGTGGTGGGGCAGTTGCCAGGTACTCGCCATAGGTCACTCTGGCTCTTCTCTACCACCAAAAACTAGCACATCCTTAAATGACCATAGCTGTTAATAAAACACAAAACAAATCAAGCTTATATAATTGTTGACTTGTTCTAGAAACTGAAGTGTTCAGAATACTGTTGCTATTCTTGACCTGTTCTAGACTGAACTGTCCCCAGAATGATCATCACTTTACGCTATA